TTACTACCTTCCTTCCATCGTGCAAACCGCCCAGTCACATGACTCCCCCAGCCACGCCTACCAAGTCACACCCACAGAACTGTTAGTAAAAAAATGTGAATTCCACCACTGGGGGGGGGGGCACTGAGGATCAGTTTGTAGTACCAAGGGAGCAGTGGACTGAAAAAGTTTGGGAACCACTGCTCTAGGCACAGGAACAAGAATGTGTTTGCAAACTATCTTCTTGGGAAAAGATGCTATTGTCTTAAAGAGTTACAGGCAGCCACTACTTTCATATCTGTGCACATTCCAAAACAGCCTTTGGAAAACATATCCAAAACACCGCACATCTCTAATATCTAAAGTCAACATTGACCCCAACAGAGGAAGCAGCAATAATATTAGAACAAATTTTAATTGCATGGCAGTTGTTTCATGACTATCGGGATTTTTCAAGAAAATAGAGGAATACTTTGACCTGTCCTTTACACAAAAGTGTCATCGCTCTAGAAAAATCCTTCCATAGTATCTTAAAATAAAGTTCATTGAATTTCCCAAAATTTTCTTTTTTATCTTGCTTCATCAGTTCAAGATGCTTCTAAATTCACAAGTACACAAATGTATTTTTCTATGTATCGCTAACATATAAAAGAGCCGTGGTAGCAGTGTGGTTAGAATGCAGTTCTGCAGGCTGTTCGATTGTGACCAGCTCAAGGTTCACTGCCCCCAACTTTTCCAGAGGAAGAAAACTAGACAACTCTTATCATATTAATTACATTTTTAAAAAGGAGGGGGTGGGGGGGTAAGGAAAGCATCTGCAGTTCCACCAATCAAGTGCTTCATGCATCCTCTTTACATCTGGCCTCAGTTTAAAGCTTTGTCATGCATATGCACCAAAAATTTAAACTGAGAATCTGTACACAAGCATTAGTCAGTTTTTTCAAGCATTCAGCATAACAGTATCAAGAAAAGCAGCTTACATTTAAAGAGACATCTCTAAATTAACTCTGTACATGTTTACAAAGTAACTCCGTTAACATATATACACAGTGATGATAGACCAGTGATAATTGTGACCAAAGACTGCAAGCATTTCAAGTTCACTTTTATTTTCAAAATTGCATCTGATTCTTCACATAGCTTAGTGTTCAAAATATATCATAACGTAGTCATATCTATCCAAACTAAGAAATAGGTCTAGGAAAGTTTGAATATATAGCCTGAAATATTTCATATAAAGAGATTTTTTTACTTTGAGCCACAATCAAGATGCTGTACCTTTTCTTTCAAACTGTATAACTGAACAAGAACTGCTGCGGTTGTTTAACAATGAAGAACTAAGGAACTTACTCACCAAAAGGCAGTGTCATGAAGGCCCATTATCATTAAAAATTGTTTTAATTTCTTCTCTTTTTCTGCCACAATATGGATAGCTAAGTAATAACCAAAAGGCGAAAAGGCAACCACTAAATAAATCAGAATGATGGCACGAGGAAAATTATCTATTTCCAAAATAGCAGATTCCCCCATCATGACAGCTTTTGTTTGTTCCAGTTCTTCTAAAACTGAGTGATTGGTCTTCAGCTGAAAAAAGAAAATGACTGTTAAAACCACTTTTGGAATAGCTTCTGCTAATAAAGAAACAGTATATCCAAAGCTATAAAATAATTTATGACAGACCTAATTTACCATATTTTTTGGAGTATAAGACCTGTATAAGATGTATAAGACCTGTATAAGAGTATAAGATGCACCAAGGTTTTGAAGAGGCAAATTTTTAAAAAAGTAGGTAGGTAGATAGAGGGATAGAGAGGGAGAGAGAGAGAAATGCAGTAGGTAGATAGGGAGAGAGAGAGTAGTTAGGTAGGTAGGTAAGTAGATAAAGGGATAGAGAGAGAAAAAATATAGAGAGAGAAATAGAGAAATACAGTAGGTAGGGAGTGGGAGAGAGTAGGTAAGTAGGTAGATGTTTCCAGGTGTTGGACAAAGAAATCACTGACAATCTGCAGCACCTAAGATTTTGTTTCTCCTGGCACAGCACTTGATCAAACTAATTCTCATGAATCACGTTAACTAAAGAGCTTTCTGAAAGGGGGGAGAAAGCTTTTACACTCTGCAAACTTCCCAAAAAACAACTCATTTTTCACGAAAACAGGTGTTTTTTTTAAAAAGGCATGAATAGCCTTGGGGGGGCTTGCAAAGTGTTCCTGCAGGGGTGGAAGGGCCAAAAATGAGCAAAATATGGCCCATTTTTTGCAAAAACGGTCACTTTTCATAGCCTTACGGAGGCTTATAGAGTGCTGCTGGGGGCTGGGGGGGGGGGACAAAAAACAGCCCATTTTTTGCTCATTTCTGCCCTCCCCAGAATGCAGCCGCGCAAGCGATATCGGGTGTACCTAGATTCACCCATGTTACACCTATCCTCCGCAAGCTGCATTGGCTTCTGATCGGTCTCCGAACGGGCTTCAAGGTTACCTTTAAAGCCCTACATGGCCTAGGACCTGGATATCTGAGAGACTGCCTCCTGCCATATACCTGCCAACGGCCGCTAAGAACTCACAGGCTAGGCCTTCTCCGGGTACCGTCGACCGGACAATGCCGGCTGGCGGCCCCTCGGGGGAGGGCCTTCTCTGTAGCTGCTCCGGCCCTGTGGAACGATCTACCCGTAGAGATCCG